ATCCCTAATTGGATCTTCAGAATAAAGGAGATAAGTAAGAACATGGGAGAAAGTGGGAAAGATCTAGAAGTCAGAAAATCTGACATGGTTCATTGGAGGGGACACGGTCTTTCCAATATGTAGATCTCCTTGGTTCATTATTGGTATTTGGATAGATGGGAATGTCAATCTTTTCCTAGTTCGCCCCCACCTGCCCCCCAACCTTTACACTCTAGAGAAACAGCCACGTAGGGGTTTTTCTTTTTTTAATGATGTGTTGGCGCCACCTAGTGTCAGCACCCTGTCATCTCACCCCCTGTCTCCGGAGGAGCCGACCATCACATTCTTTGTTTGATGTCCCTGCTCTGGTGGCATTTGCGCAGCAGGCAGCGAAATGCCTCCCGGGGTTCTGCAGGGCAGTGGGGATGCCTCATTAATTTATCCCTTCCTTCCTGTCTCAGTTGCACAAAGCGAATCTGTCCGACTGAAGCGGGGTTTGGCAGTTGAAGAGCAAAAAAGGGATGCCTCCCTGTCAAAACCAGTCTCCGCTTTTCTCCAGCAGCTAGCTCCTTAAAGCCCGTCCCTGCTTTTCTGGCAGGAAAGCCATCCTCCCCAGGGCTGCCTTGGGCTTGGGGCTCCCATAGAGCAAATAGGGGACTCTGGCTCATGTGGGCTGCTTGGCTTGTAGTTGGGCTCCCGGGAGAAGCCAGCACCAAGCTCCAGTCCTCCAGGGCTGCCTCCCTCCTGCTTGCCACGGCGCGGTGTCGTCCTGCCTGACTCCCTCGCCCCCATGCCCCTCCTCGTCCAGCGCATCATCGGCTTTGCCTGTTTGCTCTAGAACCTGGTCCTGTACTCCTTTTCTCTCCCAGCTTGACGAGCACCCCCACTGTCTGCAGCACCTCCTCCCAGGCCTCTCTCCTCCTCTCTTAGCCCCTCGGGGTTCTTCTCTGCTCAGCTGAAGCTCCAGGGAACTTTGTGAAGTGCCCACCTTGCCTCTGTGGTTCTGTGGTTCAGATCTTTCCTGTGTCTTCTGAGTGCTGTAGGGTAAAGGCTGGAATTTCCCTCTGGGCGTGCAAGGCCTCCCACCTTGCTCCCTGCACCCCGATTCAGCCCCACTGCCTGTCTTTGGTTCCCCCAGGCCTTCTGCCTCCTGAGGTCCCTTGGCCCACCCTCCCTTCCTCCCCTGACTCCCACATAGTGAGTGTCCACTCAGCCCTCAGTGGGATGTGTCTTCTTCAAAGGGCCCTTCCCCAGACCGCGTTGCATGAGTCAAATCTCCTAAAAAAGTGCTTGGAACATGCAGCACAGCTCTCCTCCCCTTGCCCTCCCTATCCTGGTGTAACAGTAACTCCACACGTGTCATTCTTTGCTGAATCGCTGTCTTCCCCCCTTTAGACCAGCGGTTCTCAGCCAGGGGAGGTTGGCCCCCTGGGGACATTTGTGGTTGCTTTAACTTGGGAGGAGAGAGCTACAGGCATCAACCAGGTAGGCGCTGGGATGCTGCTAATCATCATACAGGGCACATGGAGCAGAGACTCTTTTGTCTGGCCTGAGAGGCCACTGGATTGCTCAGCTATAAAAAGGAAGGCATTTGAGTCAGTTCTAATGAGGTGGATGAACCTAGGGCCTATTATACAGAGTGAAGTAGGTCAGAAAGAAATATATTGATTATTAACACATACATATGGAATCTAGAAAGATGGAACGATGATCCCGTGTGCAGGAGAGCAAAGCAGACACAGATGTAAAAGATGGACTTTTGGACTCAGTGGGAGAGGGAGAGGGTGGGATGATTTGAGAGAATAGCATTAAAAACATGTGCTTCCGTGGTGGCACAGATGATAAAGAATCTGACTGCAATGCCAGAGACCTGGGTTCGATAGATCCCCTGGAGGAGGGCATGGCAACCCACTCCAGTATTCTTGCCTGGAGAATCCCCATGGACAGAGGGGCCTGGTGGGCTACAGCCCATGGGATCAAAGGAGTCGGACACAAGTGAGTGACTAAAGACAGCACAGTGCCTGCACGTTGCCATATATAAACCAGATTACCAGTGCGAGTTTGATGTATGACGCAGTGCACCCAGAGCCAGTGCTCTGTGACAACCTGGAGGAATGGGGTGGGGAGGGAGCGGGAGAGGGGTTCAGGATGGAGGGGACACATGTATGCCTAAGGCCTGTTCATACTGGTGTATGGTAAAAGCCATCACAACATTGTAATTTTCTTCCAATTAAAAAATAATAAATTCAAAAATGTGTTTTGAGAAAAAGAAAAATCCTGTCTCTGAGTGGAAGCCCCATGGAGGCAGGAACCATGGCCACTGTGAAGGAGGATGTCTGGAGAGCCAAAATGCCATTGAAAGGCTGACTCGGCACTCTTGGCCCTTAAATGGGCTTGTCCATAGACAGGTACAGAACCACCGCATCCCTTCAGAACTGCTGGCCACAAGGCATAAGGGGGAGGATTAGCCAGACTTTTCCTTGTGCTCTATCTACATCAGGATAGTTACTCAGAGTCCTGCTGCTCCCAAGAGAGTCATCCTGACCTTTTGTGCCTTTGCTTTAAAAATGATTTGAAGTCCCGTTTTTAATGTTGTTTACACTCTGGTCTACTTAGAGTAAAATTTGATCTACTAGTTTTAGTCGAGACATTCCACAAGTCAAACGGCCTCGGTTTCTAACAAAAGTTTTGTTGTGGAAGCAAAGGCCAGATGACTAGGCAAGATTAAAAGAGGTTAATGCATTATAACAGCTGAATCTAACCTGTGATGTGGGGGGAAAGGGTTGTAGACTACCTTTTGGAGACAAGTGGGGAAATTGGAATGTGCACGGTGTATCAGATAATATCAAGTTAGTGTTTATTTTCTTAGGTACGAGAGTAGTCAGTGTGGGCTGCTATATCACACGCCATAGACTGGGTGTCTTAAAACAACAGAAGTTTATTTCTCACAGTTCTGGGGTCTGGGGGGGTCTGACATCAAGGTGCCAGACTCGCTCTCCGGTGAGGACTTGCTTCCTGATGCACAGGCGGCGGTCTTCTCGCTGTGTCGTCATGTGGGGAAGGGGTGAGGGAGCTCCCTGGGGTCTTATCGGGATATTCATCCCACTCTCGGAGGCTCCCCCCTCACGACCTAACTTGCCTCCCCACACTCAACCTCCTATTACCATCTCGTTGGACATTAGGTTTCAGCACATGGATTTAGGGGCACACAGATACTCAGATCCTCGTCATTACAGAGGAGAATGTCCTCGTTCTTGGGAGATACAGACCCAAGTATTAAGGAGTGAAGTTCAGAATGTATATACCTTATTTTCAGGGATAAAGCAGGAAAATGTGTGTGTGTGTGTGTTGTATGTCTGTATGTGTGTGTGTCTGTGTTGTGTCTATGTGTGTGTCTGTGTCTGTATGTGTTGTGTGTGTGTGTGTTGTGTATGTCTCTCTGTGTGTCTGTATGTGTGTGTTGTGTCTGTGTATCTGTGTGTTGTGTGTGTGTCTGTGTCTGTATGTGTTGTGTGTCTGTGTGTGTGTTGTGTATGTCTCTCTGTGTGTCTGTTGTGTGTGTGTCTGTGTTGTGTGTCTGTATGTGTGTGTTGTGTCTGTGTGTTGTGTGTCTGTATGTGTGTGTTGTGTCTGTGTCTGTGTGTTATGTGTCTGTATGTGTTGTGTGTCTATGTGTGTGTGCTGTGTGTTGTGTGTCTATGTGTGTGTGTGTGTTGTGTGTCTGTATGTGTGTGTTGTGTCTGTGTATCTGTGCGGTGTGTGTGTGTCTGTGTATGTGTTGTATGTCTGTGTGTGTGTCGTGTGTCTATGTGTGTGTGTGTGTTGTGTGTGTGTCTGTGTTGTGTGTCTGTATGTTTGTGTTGTATCTGTGTTGTGTGTGTTGTGTGTGTGTCTGTGTTGTGTGTCTGTATGTGTGTGTTGTATCTGTGTTGTGTGTGTTGTGTCTGTGTGTGTGTGTTGTGTGTCTATGTGTGTGTGTGTGTTGTGTGTGTGTCTGTGTTGTGTGTCTGTATGTGTGTGTTGTATCTGTGTTGTGTGTGTTGTGTCTGTGTGTGTGTGTTGTGTGTCTATGTGTGTGTGTGTGTTGTGTGTGTGTCTGTGTTGTGTGTCTGTATGTGTGTGTTGTATCTGTGTTGTGTGTGTTGTGTCTGTGTGTGTGTGTTGTGTGTCTGTATGTGTGTGTGTGTGTTGTGTGTGTGTCTGTGTTGTGTGTCTGTATGTGTGTGTTGTGTCTGTGTATCTGTGTGTTGTGTGTGTGTCTGTGTCTGTATGTGTTGTATGTCTGTGTGTGTGTCGTGTGTCTATGTGTGTGTGCATGTTGTGTGTGTGTCTGTGTTCTGTGTCTGTATGTGTGTGTTGTATCTGTTGTGTGTGTTGTGTGTGTGTCTGTGTTGTGTGTCTGTATGTGTGTGTTGTATCTGTGTTGTGTGTGTTGTGTGTGTGTCTGTGTTGTGTCTGTATGTGTGTGTTGTATCTGTGTTGTGTGTGTTGTGTCTGTGTGTGTGTGTTGTGTGTCTGTATGTGTGTGTTGTGTCTGTGTTGTGTGTGTTGTGTGTGTGTCTGTGTTGTGTGTCTGTATGTGTGTGTTGTATCTGTGTTGTGTGTGTTGTGTCTGTGTGTGTGTTGTGTGTCTATGTGTGTGTGTGTGTTGTGTGTGTGTCTGTGTTGTGTGTCTGTATGTGTGTGTTGTGTCTGTGTATCTGTGTGTTGTGTGTGTGTCTGTGTCTGTATGTGTTGTATGTCTGTGTGTGTGTCGTGTGTCTATGTGTGTGTGCATGTTGTGTGTGTGTCTGTGTGTACAGAAAGAGGAGGGGAGAGGGAAAACAGGTGTGGGGCAGTGTTAGCAGCGGGGCTCTAAGCGGCAGGAGCGCGGGCACTCCCGGCCCTGCCGCGCCAGCGTCTTGGGGCTGTGGCCCTCGGGAGCTCGGGGCGCATGGGCGCAGGGTGGCGTGGGGCGCGCGGCCCTCGGGAGCTCGGGGCGCGCGGGCAGAGCCTGGCGCTGAGCTCGGCCGTGTGTCCAGTCTGCAGCTCCCCGCCAGTCCACATGAAGGTGCAGCCGCTGAACCAGAGCGCGCTGCAGGTGTCCTGGAGCCAGCCGGAGACCATCTACCACCCGCCCATCACGAGCTACATGGTGTCCTACAGCTGGACCAAGAACGAGGACGAGAAGGAGAAGACGTTCACCAAGGACAGCGACAAGGACTTGGTGAGGCCCCCGTGTTCTGAGTCAGGGCGGCCCCGGGTGTCTCCTGGGGTGCTTCCCCTGTGACGTTCCAGCCCCGTGCCGCCGTCCTGGTGAAGGCGGGTACCACCGCGGGCACCACTGTGATGCCACGGCTCCCCCGCCCTTAAACTTGCCGGCCACACCACCAGAAGAAGTGTTAATCTGTTTGCAGTTAGGCCCTTCAAAACTGACTACTTTTTCTCTCGTTACGGCAGAAAGCCTCCACGAAGCCCTCGTCCTCTGATAGCATTATTGTAAATGTTACGTGGGTTACACAATTGTACAGCGGGGCCGGGCACGGCGCGAGCACTGTCAGTACTAGCTGTTATCACCACCGCAGTTACTCCCCCTCTGCCTCCCTCCTCCCCACTCCTACTCTTGTCAGCCCCACCAGGCAACCCTCTGCAGTCCCCACCGCTCCCTCCTGTCATATTTCATCTGCCTCACACCTTCCTACCTGCGAGACCCTGGCGACCACGCCATTTTTAACCACTGTTCTTAGGCTCTCAGACCCTATAATACCTGACTTCACTTTTGAGCAACACATGCCCAGTTCCGTGTCTCATCTTAGATGTGCATAAATATTTAGTGGCCAGCCCCCAACAAGTTGGCCCTTGAGAACAGATGTTTGCAGAAGCCAAGTCTTCTTCCCCTAGAAAAGCAATCACTCCAACAAGCGCTGGTCTTCACATCTTTGCCTGGAAACTCAAAGCAAGACGTTTGGGTGTGAAAGCCTGGCGTTTATCGTTAATCAAAAGAAGTCTTTGGGATAATGAAGCCCATCATTGTATATGTACATGAAAAATGTAATAGCACCGAGTGGGATTCTTAATGACTGTTACTGCTTTTTTTCCTTGCAATACAGAGTCCCCAGGGCCCGTTCAATCACTTACAGAATAATACTTTTCGTATTGCTTCAGATGACGATTCTTTTACTTCATTTCCATTTATATTTTCAATTTCCCCACTAGACGTTGTTATCTGGGTCACATTAGGGAATGATGAGCTTCATGAAATCGGAGAGGAAAGGCACCCAAGGTTGTGATGTGTTTTAACCTTTTCTCTTGTCAGGACCAGAAGTCTGGGAGGGAGGTTTCTCTTTCTGAGCTAAGGGGGGCTTGCATTAATCAGCAGAAACTAGCTAGGCACTTATTCGGTTTCTTATACTAAGTGGGAGATAATTAAACATGCAAAGATGAATAGATACCAGCTCAGAGTGAATTCTAATAAATCCCTGCTTAGAGGAAGCCGAGATTTTTGCTCTGCACAGAAGACGAGGTCACAGGTTTAGAGACTGAGGCATAAATGAGTTTCAGAGAAAGAGAGAGATGTAGAGAAAAACATGCTTTGACAGCAAGTTCTTTTTTTATAAGGATTTCTAGGGGTGGTTCTTTTCTTTTGGGACACACAAAATTAATTTTCTTAATTCCTCAAGAAGTCGAGAGTGCTGACTTAGTGGCAGCCAAGTTTTTCTCCAATTTAGAATTCTTGTGGCCCAGAAACATTTCTCAAACATTTTCCTGGCTTTTGTCAGCATCCTCCCGACACACACACCCTCACTGCCAACCTAGGGAACAGGTGTTATTGCCTGCCTTTTCCAAAAGGTAGGCTGAAAGTGAAATAACTGGACCCCAACCTCCCGCTGTCCCCAGGAATACATTTGCTAGGTAACAGGCAGCAGGCATGGCCACAGTAACTTGTTAATGCCTCTTCAGAGGTTTTCAATAGCTACCTTGGGGAAAACCCACTCAGTGGTTAAGCTCCCAGAGCTGATTTCTGGATCTGGCCCAGAATTCTGTGACGAGACATTTCATCATCAGGGAGTCTTTAAAAATCAGTTGCTTTTGCTTATCTGTTTCTTTGGGCAAGTAAGCCCTGCCAACTTTTTTGGCATTTTCCATTTTCTGATTTTTAAAAGTCTCTTGGAGTAAAGCTTTGCAAGATGGGGATCTGGATTTGGCTCCTGACTTGGGACCAGGGATTGGGAAACTTTTCTCTTGAAAGAGTCAGAGAGTTAAGACTTTAGGTTTTAAGGCCTTTGTGGGCAACTACTCAACTCTGCCACTGAAGGGTGAAAGCTGCCACAGCAACAGGGAAATGAATGGGTGTGGCTGTGTGCCAATAAAACTTTATTTATAAGAAACGAACAGCGGGCCGGATTGGGGCTGTAGGCTGTCACTTGTGAACCCCTGTGTTAGACCAGGGCCGTGGTTTCTGTTGTGCAGTGAGGACTACCAGTGTACAAAGCTCGCTTGACCTCTGTTGTACAGAAGTCCCAAGAACCCTGCGAGGGAAATCTTACTCTCTCCGCTTAACAGCTGGAGGGAGCAGAGGCCAAAAGACCCTGAGCAGCTGACTCAGAATCACACAGCTGGTGAGTGGCATGGCACAGGTACATCCCTTGTCCTCTGACTTCCTGTCAAGTATTCTTCCAGCTTCGTGCCTTGTGTTATCCAAGGTCAAGGTACAACAGTGCCTTTAAACTGCAAAGAAACAGTAACACGGAGACTTGGTTGTGGCTGCTCTCAACTCTGTGTGGCCCTGGAAATTCAGTACACTTGATGATTCTAGACAGTATATCATTATCGTTTACAAGGTAGAGCAGTTTTGACAGAAGTCCCAGCCTCATGGGTACAAACAGGGCTGAAGGCACGCTCTAATACAGGGTCAAGCACCTGTGTCAAGACTGGTGTTCCTTCTCTTACTCTACGTATTTTTGTGTTGAAAACACATTCCCAGGTGAGGTTACTTCTGAATGCTTGTTCCTTTCAGAGCGAGTCTTTGGTCAGTGAGGAAGCATGATGTTCGTTGGGCTTTGCCATGGTACCCAGAAACCTACACGTGATGCTTGACAGTCTTTGATGTTCAGCTTTTGGATGCACAGTGTGCTCTGGCCTTTAGCACCAGCTCACGCCTGTCCTTTCCTCACCCTGCAGAAAGCCACCATCAGCCACATCTCACCTGACAGCCTTTACCTGTTCCGGGTCCAGGCCGTGTGTCGCAACGACATGAGGAGTGACTTCAGCCAGACCATGCTCTTCCAAGGTGAGGAGCTGGCCTTCTCGTCTGCCCTTTACCCTTCTCCTTTGGGCTTTGTCTTTCTTCCTGTTCAGGTGCTTGCACGTGAGACTATGAACCTGGCCTAAATATCAGTGTGGGCTTTGCAGTCACACCAGAAAAGCCTGGGCCATTTATGCCTGTCTTTTAAGTAGGGGGTTTCACAGGCCAGAGGAGGAGAAGAAGGGTAAAATGATTATTTTTAAAAATTACCGTGATTTTCCAACCGTGGAGATCCAAGCATGTGTCTACTATTGTGTCAGATCATAGAATCATCTCCTAGTCACGTGGAGGAGTACTGTCTCTGGATTTCCAGCATAATTCAGTTAGCTGATTTAGGGTCTAGTGGAATGTTTCAGGTCAGCTTTGGGGCATGGCAAGAGGAGAATTCACTTTGGTGAAGAATTTAAAGGAACTCTTAAAAACTTTGTCATCAAGATGTCATTACAGATGTCATCTTTAAATGGAATATTTTTTAAACCAAAATCAATGTAAAATACCCATGAACAGCAACAAAAAATCAAAACTTTGCATGAAGACAGGATATTCTCTATCTTACTTGCCCCACGATCATCTCAGCCCTGGTTCCAATAAAACTTGATTAACAAAAATTGGCAGCTGGCCTGTGGGCTGTAGTTGGCAGACCTGGTTTTGTGCAGGGCACAAAGACCAGTACGGAGGGAGCGACCAGGGCATCAGGCTTATTGTTCTGCCTGTCTGATGTCCCCCTTGGGAAAGTTATTTATTTCCTAGATCCTTGGTTTCAGAGACACAAACCAGGCCAGTGCTTCTTACATTTGTGAGTTATGTATCTGGGATGAAGGCTTTGGACATTTTTCCTAGAAAATGCCAGAAGTTTGCGTGTCACAGCTTCCGGGATCTCAGAAAACCTGTAGATCATAGATCCGGCTTCACTGCCTGGAATCCTGTGAGCAATGCACGTTCACGGGCCCCTCCCAGACTAATCATCTCGGACTCTCAGAGGATGAGGCCCAGGAATCTGAATTTGAAGCAGATGGCTCAGGTACCAAGCATGCACATGAGAGATGAAGTTGCTGACTCAAAGCCAGGGCCCTGACTTGAGGGCCCCAAGTTGAGTCCTGGCTGCCACTTAGTCTTTCTGTGACTCTGAAAATGTTGACTAATGTCTCTAAGCTGCAGTTTCACAGTCTGAAAGTGGCAGTTAGGGGAGTACTACCCCCATGGGGTCCTTGTCAGTGACAGGGTGATGCATGTTACCTAATTAGCACAGAGCCTAGAACCAGTGCTCAATATCGCCTTAGTGTGAGGCTTAATATAAAAATTAATATGTGATGAACCCAGAGTAGGAACCCCCTCAGCTGAGATTCCCTCCAAGGATCCCTTCTAGCTTTGCATGTTTGCATCTAGTATTGAAAGAGCCTTTGCTGATGTTTACATCAGCTCATTCTTCCATTTAAACGACTTGAAATTAGCACGGATGTATTTTTTTCACGAGTAAATCGCACTCAGCGTTTGTCTACCTGGGGCCTATCTGCTTGTGTTGAGCAGAGGCCACAGGCCAAGGCCAGGTCTGTCTGGGCCAGCCCACGGGAGCCAGCAGGTGAAGCCAGAGTGTGAGCTCGCTGAGGCCAGGGCCCTGCAACTTTGCACATAAATCATGATTAGGCCGCTCATGTGCTCTAACTAGGAGCCCAGAATCTGCAAAACCGCCTTTCCTGATTAATAGGTCCCTGAGCTCACTGGTTTCTGCACAGACTTTGAAAAATGAAATGTTTGTAATATAATGCAGTTCCCAAAAGCTTCGTCAGCTGTAAATTCCGAGCACGGAATAGTTAACATGTCTGATCACGGTGACTCCTTAAAGATGGCAGTGCCTCCTTTGCCTGAAGACTTCCCTTGCGCAGGGGTGGACATGCATTCACTCATTTTCTGTATCAGCGTTTGTCCCTGCATGTTGACAAAGGGACACACAGTGGCTTTGGGATCTTCCCTGCACCTTCCAGTGGGCAGTGGAAAAATGAAATCTGCCGTTTAGCTAGCACACCTTTTCTGGTGAGCCAGCTAGGAGCTTGTAAGCAGTAGAGGCCAGAGTTCAAAACAGATCAACTTTTAAGAGTTCAGTGTTAAAAGGGAAAGAAATAAACTTAGGGAATTTCATGGACACTTTGTTAAGAATAATTAGGTATCCTCTTGATAAAGTTTGCCTCTGATTTGGTGGCATGAGAAAGCCATGTGGAATATTTTCATTATTACAGTAAATAACACTGGTTTCCCCGGTGACTCAGTGGTAAAGAATCTGCCTGCAGTGCAGGAGATGTAGGATACGTAGGTTTCATCTCTGGGTTGGGAATATCCCCTGAAAGCGGAAATGGCAACCCACTCCAGTATTCTTGCCTGGAACATCCCATGGACACAGAAGTCTGGCGGTCTGTGGTCCATGGGGTCACAAAGAGTCAGACACAACTGAAGCGACAAAGCACAGCACAGCACATAGTAAATAACACAATATTTATGTCCTGTATAACATAATAAATAAGTTATGCTTACTTTACTGTAGTAAGTATGATAATAATAATGGTGATCATTGCCTGTGAAGTGGCTCCCAGTTACAGAGCGTTTGGCCCTAAGTCATTTCATCTGACCTCGTGACAGCTTGTAATGCAGATTTTATTTTCTAGAGGGGGAAATGATGTTCTGAGCAATCGAGTAACTTGCCCCCCCCCCCAAAAAAAAATCATTTGACTACTAAGCAGAGTCCAATTTCTTATTCCAAAGCCCAGTCATTTATACACAATGACAGACCACCCCTAAAGCATAAATATTATGCTGTTAAAGCATAAATATTAAGCCGTTGTCTTCAACAAACGGCTCAAAAGATTGATTGCCAAGTGTTCAAAAGGTTTTTTGCAGGTCTCAACAGTCGTGGAAAATAAGGGCTTGTAAGCCTTCTCTTTGAGCCACAGACCCATCAGGCATCCTGGCCAAGCCATCAGATGCTCTCTCAGAATGGTTTAAAATAAATAATTAAAATATATAGGAAAGGAAACCAATTGCACTTAGATACAGTTGTCAAAATATTTTAAACACGCAAATCGGCAACATAGTCATTGCTGCACTTCTTTTATGAAAGTATTAAATGACAAGTGGTGGGTCTGTTTGCGATGGTGATTTCTGAGTAGCAGTGAACATAAATGATACTTCAGAATAGCTCCAGCAACTGTAAGGCAGCAGAAAAATATCCCATTTCAATCATAGACAGAGATGCAGGATGGTCCTGCTAAATAGAGCCGAGATTCCTAGCTTCCGTTCCTCTTGCAAGAAGAAGCGACATCTCCCTGACAGCTCAGTGGAGACATGTGTCTCCTTTTTCCCCCATCCCTGAAATCCACCAGGCCGATGGACTGGTAATCTGAAAGGCCCTGTAGAAGCTTCCTAGTCATCACAACTAGAACTGACCCCAATGGGAATTGTTCAAGATCAATGAAAAGCAGGCACAGTGATGGAGTGGCCACTGAGTTTGTTGGCCTTAAATTAAGGCCTTTGTAAAGGGCAGGAAAAGCAGATCTCTTAGGAAGCTTTCTTCCTGTGTTAACAAAGGGAGGTGTGTATACCTGTCTGAGGCAGCACAGTATTGATCTCAAAGCAGCTCACTGATGGTGGGAGGTTATATTTAGTGCCAGGCAAGGACTGTTTGCTTCCTGGGCTGCCTCATCTGACCTGGTATTGACGTGTAGATCAGTCTATTCCCCACAGTTGTCTCTTTACACGTTTCACTTTCCAGCTGAGCAAAGTGACTGTATCGTTAAGTTGGGGGTTGCAAATGTAGACGCCCTGTGGCCCAGCAGGGAACCACATACACATGAGGGGGGACCATCATGGAAAACTGGAGAGGTGCCCTTTGAAAGGGGGTGATGGATGCTTAGCCCCTACCAAATGTTTTCCTCCAGGAAGGTGAACCTTGGTTTTGCCAAAAATTGTGATTTTTTTTTTTTTTTTAGGATGAGCAGAAAATTGGGATTTTGAGGTTAAAGCTGCTGTTTAAAATGTTGACAGTGAATTCATTGTTGTTGTTTCTTTTTCAAAAAGCTTTCAGGGAAAATAAAAAATAGTTCAAATACTTGCCCCACTTCTAATTTAGGTAAAAACTCCAGCAGATACAAATGTTATTTATTTGGGAATTTAGTGGGTTTTGCACCTTTTTCAATGCCATGTATGTATGGGAAGCAAATGTTTATTTTGTATAGGACTATTGTTTTTGAGATAGCACAAAAGGTGAGTCTGACAAATAGTTAGATTATAGTTCTTACATTTTTTTTAAGGAAGACATAAAAAGTACTAGTTTCAGGTAGACTTTAATAAGTTTAGGATGCATATTATAGTCCCTGAAAGGATAATATAAGACATTATCACCAAAAAAAAACCAATAGAGAGTAACAGTGGAGTAATACGAAGTTCAAAAACAGACAAAATGTTGACAAGGGTCAGAGCGGTCGTGAGAATACCTCCATGGAGGCATGGAGAATGTCTATATTTTAATATGAGGGCGAGTTATACAGCAGTAAAAATTAATTTGACTCTACACTGAAGATTTGTGCATTTTGCTGTATATAAGTTTTATCTCAATTAAAAAAATGATTACAATTTTGTAAAGTTTTAAACTAAGAGCTTAAGACAAGAATCAGAAACTGTGGCCCACAGATATGGCTAGATACGGCCATCTGCATGTTTTTTGATGACTCACAAACTGAGAAGGGTTTCACATTTTTTGAAAGTTGGGTGAAAAAAATAAAGAGGAGTATTTATAACATGTAAAAATTATGTTTTTCAGATTTGTGTAGGTAAGTACAGTTTTGTTGGAACAACACAAGAAAGTTCTGCTGTTTACAGTATAATTTCTTTGCTTCTCAGCTAATACCACTCGAATATTCCAAGGGACCAGAATTGTCAAAACAGGAGTGGTAAGTAGAGAATGTGATTGCTTTGTCATGGGTAGTTGGTAATTTGCATGCATTTAGAACTGTCACCACAAGGTGGCAGTATGATGTTGTCAAACTGCTCAATGAGAAGTGGTTAAAATACTGAATAAATTAACTATACACTCCGTATAATTCAGTGCAATACATTATTTTAAAAAGCTGTGCAACAGAGTTAAGCCAACAGTGTTATACTGTATTGTTTTTGTCAAGATAAAATTTTTTAATGGTTTATAATTTGTGAGATCATAGGTTGTAAGAATGCAAAGGAGTAAGGACAGGCTCAGATTGAAAGGTTGTTATTTGACCAAAGTTATATGATTGCACGTGTCTGGAGCCTCAGTGTCTAAATTTTCTCCTTTCTAGTACGACTAATAATTGTAATAATAATTGCAATGTTGGTAATAACAAATCCTACAATATATTAACTTTTTCCTGGGTTTCAGGCACAGAGTATTAGTTTATTTACCCCTCACGGCATCCCACAAGTTTGGTATTACTATGACTCCCATTTTATGGATGAGGAAGCTGAGGCTCAGTGAGTTAATATGCCCAGCATCTCCCAGAGAGCAAGTAAGGTATCATGCTCAAGTCAGACTGACTGCTCTGTCTCCAGTGCCTTATCATGGGTGGCACCTGGCATTTCATTGACCAACTTCAAAACTCATCGTTTGCTAACTTGATCATCCTAAAACTACAAACTTTTCAAACTGAAACTTGAGACAGTGGTGAAATCTAAGTGGTTCTGGCTGTATTACTTTGAACTACATAAATGATGGGATGGAATTCTGGATTCTGTATATGAGGTTTCAAAAACTAAAATTAAACGAATAAGTCAGAGCAGCACTTATATTTGTAAGGTACCGTGTTCAAATACAGTCCCTCCATGAAGCCTGATTTAGTAGGATGGGAAGAAAGAGCTGAGACTTGTACCTAGTCAGCCACACCTCTGCCCCTTAATCTCTCTGTGCCCCGTTTTTCTCACCTGTAAAGTAGGGTGATGTTCACGTGTGTCCCTGGGAGAGCCTGGGATACCCAGGCACATAGTTGGAGCTTTTTAAATGGAACTCTTACTGTCATCTATACCAGCATGTATTTCGCTGTGATTAAATCTGGAGAGTCTGAAATCAGATACAGCAGGGTGTACAGTGCCCGACACAGGGATGCGGGTGTAAGCCGGCTCCCGAGGCCTGCAGTATAGAGCGCGGCCTGACTTCTGACTTGGCTACTGCAGACACGTACCGGCCACTGTCCTCCGTCCACCCACTTCCTCACTGTAAGATGTGCAGCCAGGTCCTGGAGAGCTTCTGTAGACCTCAGGGCTGTGAATTGTCCACAAGTGCCACAATGTATGCAGAAGCTCCTGCCTCCTCCAGGGTCACCCCAGCAACGTCTGACCGTCCAGTGTTGCCTGCGTATTGCTTATTTGATGTTTGTCTTTCAGACAGGGTTTCCCAGGTGGGTAGAGAACCCCGTAGCACTAATGCAGCTTACTTTTTTACCACTTAGCCTCCTCCTCCTGAGCAATATCAGTGAAGAGTTGAAGTTGGGTTTGATATGTAGATTACAAATTTTAAGTAATTATAAAAACGTGAAGAGTGATGGTGGTCAGCCACGGATGGCCTGTTGTCAGCTTTGGCACCAGGCTCTGGGAGGCCCTGAGAATAAAGGTGAAGATGAGTGGAAGCCCTTGGAGGGTCCTGTCCAGGGCCTAGTTCCCAATCCCAGTGACTGACACTCAGCTTTCTCTTCCTCCCTCCCTTCCCCCCACTTCCCTGGGCTACCCCTTCAAGCCCACAGCGTCGCCGGCCTCTTCGGCTGACATGGCCCCCATCAGCTCAGGCTCCTCCACCTGGACATCCTCCGGCATCCCCTTCTCCTTTGTCTCCATGGCGACCGGGATGGGCCCATCGTCCAGCGGCAGCCAGGCGACCGTGGCCTCGGTGGTCACCAGCACGCTCCTGGCCGGCCTGGGCTTCAGCGGCGGCGGCATCTCCTCCTTCCCCAGCACCGTGTGGCCCACGCGCCTGCCCACGGCCGCCTCGGCCAGCAAGCAGGCCGGCAGACCCGTCCTGGCCACGACCGAGGCCTTGGCCAGCCCCGGCGCCGACGGCGATTCGGCGCCCAGCAAGGACGGCGAGGGCGCGGAGGAGGGCGCAAAGGACGAGAAGAGCGAGAGCGAGGACGGCGAGCGGGAGCGCGAGGAGGAGGGCGAGAAGGACTCCGAGAAGAAGGAGCGGAGCGGGGTGACCCACGCCCCGCGGGCGCGCAGCCACACCCGGCCCGCCGCCGCGCCCTCGGGCCCCGGCACCGCGGCCCAGGAGGGCGCGCATCAGACTACACCCGGGCGCGAGCGGGCCCGCACGGCCAGCCCCACCGCCCGGGCCCGGGACGCCCTGGACGCCCGCTCGGCCACCCCCACGCAAGTGCCCCCCACAGTCACAGAGGAGCAGGACGAAGACAGTGACCCCGAGGTGCCATCCAGGAAGCCTGTGCCCCCAGGGGACCGGTTTCCCGAGGACAGCAGGTTCATCACTGTTAACCCAGGTAAGCAGCCGCCCCTCCCCTGAGCCTTCACGCTGATGTGAACAGTGTTACCCTTGAAGAAGTATGTGAGGGTAGAGAGTGCTTAGTATTCCTGGAATTGTGTGCCTGTGTGTGTCTCTTTCTATTTTCTTCTGGTAAAAATTACCTCTTCTATTAAAGTGGCTGGACTAAGTCTTGCCCTATACTTGCTTGCTGGTAAAGTCAACTTGCCTCAGCATAACTCCAGGCACTTCAGCCACACCATGAAGTAAATGATGGAAAAAAACATCCATCTTAAGAAATGTATTCTTTCAGATTTCTTTCCTTAGGCTTTTATCCAGCCCCTGAGTTTCTGGGCTGTCTGAGCGGTGCCAGTCGCTGGCCGGGGTGCTGACCGAGGTGAGCATGATACCTGCAGCTTAACGCTCACAGGGTAAAAGAGGATGCCGAATGCAGGGAAGTTAGGAAACGAAAAGGTTGGGAAGCAAGCAAGCAAATCCACGGGCAAGTCAGAAGCCTCACTAACTGTTGTGGGAGACTGTGAACGGTCACAGTAAAGCAAAGAAACAGGGTGGTGTCAAAGAAAATAATCAGGAAGAGGGCAGGGAGCTATTTTAACCACCAAGGGCCACTCGGGGGAAGTGACTTTATATTAAACCTAAAGGGGTGAGAAGCTCCAGCCTGGGGAGAACTGGGCTTAGTTCATTCCAGCCTAAGAAATAGTACCCTATTTGCTCTGTGAATTGTGCATTTTATGGATGATGACGCCAGGGCACGGCTGGCCTGCCCTCCTCGGGAAGGACATGATCCCCATCTTCCTGGCCAGGGGTGATTTTGTGGCTCTGTCCTAGGCTCACATGTTATTGAAACATCCTGTTAGTTTTTACAAGGGAGTCCTGAACATGAGGGGTTGTTATTGTTGTGAGGGTTTTCTTAATAAGAAAGTCTCTCTTTTGCCAGACTACAAGATGTTTAGTAACAATTTTTTTTTCTTTTTCTTTTTTTTTTTTTTTGCATCTAAGCTGTTGTGGAGTTATAAGAGTGCAAAAAAAAAAAGCAACTGGTAAATATTTATTTGCTTTTGCACTTGTAAACATTAAAATTCATCTAAAGCTGAGACCTCGTATGTTAAGATACAACTTAGAATAAATTTTCATGTTTTGAATTACGTTCCTCCTTAAAGCTGGTATGGACTCGTGTTTTGAAGTGTGGGTCTGCTGTGGGTGCTGCTCACTTTGTCCCAGTTTTAGAGGAAGGTGCAGAGTAGTCCTCTAAGGATCAAGTAAAGGAAATATCAAGCCACTTGGGAAGCTGCTTGCAGCCCTTCCTGCAGGAGCAGTGACATTGCCTCCAGGAATTGATGTGGAAAAGTTGGATTTCTTGCGTTTGGAGATATTAAAAGAGATGTTTGTGGAGTACCTACTGAATCCCAGGCGCTGGACTAGGCGTTGGGGACAGACTCTAGATCTAGTCAGGCTTGTGTTCTCCTGAGGTTTATTTTCTAATGGAAAAGCTTGAGAGTGTTCCAGTAAATAAACGCGTTAACATCAAGTGCTAGAGTTGGGGTCAGGGACAGTTTTCATCCAGTGGTCGAGGAAGGGCATCTGAGTGGAGACCCTGGTGGTGAGAAGGAGCTAGCTAGGCAGTGACTCACGGAAGAACATTCTGGGCTGTAGGAGCAGCAGGTCCAGTGACCCTAAAGTGGGGGCTAGTGTGGATCAGTCAGGGAGCCATGAGAGGGCCAGTGCGTCGGGACCCCTGAGATGAGGGATGCAGGATGAGTCAGAGCAGAGCTTCGTTCAGGAAGGGGTTTGTCAGCCATGCTGAGGCTTGGCTTCTAAGCGATGTGGAAAACCAGCGGTGGATTTCCCCAGCAGAGTTACTCATCTGATGAACTTTTTCAGAAGGTCATTTCGGCCTCTCTCTGGACGTTTAGGGAGGCAGGAATGGACACAGGAAGCTGAGTTAGGAGGTGATGACTGAGGCAGTTTGGACCAGTATGGTTTCTCCACAGACAGTAGTGGACCTGGAATTGATTTTCAGGCTTGAACAGTTTGGCCTGCATACTAGGGGCTCTGGCAAAGTAGCCTTCTCAGCTGGCTCCTCTTAAACGTCTCTGTCCACACTCCTGAAAAGCTCTCCAAGCGATGAGCTTGAGGCTTTGGCAGTTTGAGAGACTGGTGAGGGTGGGGGCCTGGGATTCAGTCCAGGTGAGCGGAAATGAGTCCTTGCAGTGGCAGTCAAGTTCCTGATTCCAGGGAGAGGGGAGCAGAAACAATTGGTAAATCCTGCGGAGGTTTCTGCCTTCAGGTACAGGAACTGTGAGTCTCCAGCTTCGACCCTGCACGCATCTGAGTGTCCACGGTCTTGGCAGAGTAGCTTGTGGAGTCAGATCCTCACAGGAGGCTCTGCCCTTTATTCTCACAGGGACCGCAGGCCAGTCTTGTGCTCAGCATCCTCATCTGTAAGGTGGACATAACTAGATCCCTAGTGCTGAAGGCGGTGCAGATAAACGGAGTCACACGTCTTGTCAGTGACACGAGAAGAGGAGGTTTATGCAGCCTGAGGTTCACATGACGGCACTGGCGACTATGTGGCAGCCCTTTGCAGGTCTCCTGCAGTCATCCTGGGACTTTAAAGAGCAGGTGGAGATTGTGGTCCCCAGTGAGCTGGCGCTAGAAACAATCTCCAGAAACTCCAGTCTGTCCCCAGCGCTGGTAAAGCAGAGCATTTGCCTTTCCACCTTTATCTCGATGGGGAAGTCCACTTCTTCCCAAACTCAGAAGGGTCTTCCTTTAGAATTTCGGGCAGTTTCAATTTGAGAGTGGTGGTGGGGCTGGGGCTTGGTTAAGCCAGAGATGAGTAAACTTTTTGTGCAAACAGCCCGAGAGTGGACATTTCCAGATTTGTGGATTGTAAGTCTTTGTTGCAACTATACCTCTTTGCAAGGTGGCATGTAAGCAGCCTGAAACACCCCACAAATGGGCGGATGTGGTTTGAGTTCTGATAAAACTCAGCTTTCAGAAACAGGCAGTGGGCCTGATTTGATCAGCACGCTATCATTTGCTGACCCCTGTAGCTTTACACAGAAGTGTGTGTGTTGCTCAGTCATGTCTGACTCTTTGGGACCCCATGGACTGCAGCACACCAGGCCTCCCTGTCTCTCACTGTCTCCTGGCATTAGCCCATTGCCCATTTGCCCATCACGTCCATTGAATTGGTGATGCTATCCAATCATCTCATCCTCTTCCACTCTCTTCTCCTTGTGCCTTCAGATACTTTGGCCACCTGATGGCCAGCTGACTCATTGGAAAAGACCCTGATGCTAGGCAAGATTGAAGGCAAATATATGTGTTGGTTGGTTAATATATATGTTAACCATATGTGGCCCATTGGTTAATAAAAGATATAAGTAACTTGAGGGTAAAACCCCATATTGTGCATGACCCCCAAGGTCTCACTTTGCCTCGATCCATCTTGCCCTTTTCTCCATCTGCCTCCTCCAGCTTGGTGTTTATTTTTTTAAACGAAATCCCCGTCATTTTAATGTTAGTGGCGACTTCTTTTAAAGACTCTGAATGTACATTTGTGTAAATCTGTTCCACATTTATTTTTTCTTCATGTTAAAAACAATTCTTCCAGTCGATATTTAGTCTCTTCAAAAAAAAGCTTTAACGTTGAACAAATTGTGTTATTTTTTTTACCAGCCTCTCCAAAAGGCTTATTTAAATCCCCTTGATGTTTGATAACATCTTTTCAAAAAATCCTATGAATAGTATCTTCAGTATTAACTTGCAGGGAAGAAGCGAGAACAATTCTCCAGAAGAAAGGGGCCGGTTCAGACACATGCAGAAATCAGGCAGGTAACAGCCAGGGTCCCTCCCTCAGCAGCCACAGCCCAGATGTGGTGAAGACACCCCCAAAGGCCTGTTGATGCAATACAGTGTTCTCGGGGTGGAACGCAACATGCGCTGGCAGTAGCACCTCAGGGTGGGCGCAGTCTACAAACTCATCATTTAATGCTGGGGTTTTCCCTTTTTCTTTCCTTATATCTGGAAAACTCCTTTTTCAGACTGCATCCTGCTCAGAACCCCATTATGTAAACACTCATTCACCAAAAGCTGGCTGAGTGCCTCCTCTAGTTCAGGGGTGGGGAGAGTACAGTCTCCAGACCAGATCTGGCCCTTGACTGACTTTGGTCCTAACCCTGAGCTAGGAATGGGCTTCCCTGGTGGCCCAGTGATAAAGAATCCCCCTGTAATGCAGGAGACTGAGGTTCGATCCGTGGATCGGGAAGATTCCCTGGAGGGGGACATGGCAACCCACTCCAGTATTCCTGCTTGGAGAATTCCGTGGACCTGAGAGGCTACAGTCCACGGGGTCGCAAAAAGTCAAAAGGACACAACTGAAGCAGCTGAGCACACGCATAAGTCAGAAATAGACTGAGTTGGTCAGAGACTTGGAGCTGCTCTTCTGCTCTGACTCAGAGTCGAGGGTGCTAACCTCCAGCCTCCTCTCTCCTTTGGGAAAACCTTGAGTACCTCTTGGGAACACTTAGGCTCTAAGGAAGGCCAGCTTGAAAATCTCTACTTCTAGAAACAGTTGCATCACTTAATATTTGTTCCATGCTGGTGATGTGGGTGCTAAAAGCCAAAATGTGATGTCACTTATCTTACACAACCCCAGGCGGTCTCTGTTGTCCTTGTGGCCCTTAGACCAGTGGGGAAACCAAGGCGTGCATGCTAAGTCGCTTCAGTCATATCCAGCTCTTTGAAACCCTAGGGATTGTAGCCCACTAGGCTCCTCTGTCCATTCTCCAGGCAAGAAGACTGGAGTGGGTTGCCATTCCCTCCCCTAGGGGATCTTCCCCACCCAGGGACTGAACTAGAGTCTCTTATGTCTCCTGCATTGATGCCACCCGGGAAGCCTCAGGAGACCAAGTCTTAGAGGTTAAGGAATTTGCCTGAGCAAGACGTGACGAGACGGGGTCAGACACAGGCCCTGAACCCACCTGGTGTTGC